TATATATATAATTTATATATTGAAAAAGAAAAAATATATATAGTCAAGAATGCTTTTATGATAAAGTATAGTAGGGTTAAGATATAATAAAAAGATATAAAGGAGCTATGACGATACCTTTCTAAACGCATTTGAAGGCATATAAAAGAACATGAGTATACAAACACTGTATTGATTGTAATTAAAATACAAAAATAGGTGAACAATGATAACATTCTAAATTTTGGAGCACAAAAAATATGCCTACAATGGTAAACGATGGTTCTATTGTCATTAATGCCAACCTTAATTACAACAGTAAAGACATGTTGATAATGCACAAGTAAATCTGCATTAATCGATCCCCTTAAGTTGTTGGCCATACATTATCTGGCCATGTAAAAGGTATGTGGACCGCAGTCTGGGAGTCTGTGCTGGGGAGACTGTAGACAGTAATGTGAGTATAGCTGGGTGCTGTTCTAGTGGTTTGTGTCCATTTCCAGAAAATTCCCGGAATCACAGAACAAAGTGGAAGAATATCTTAGAAAAGTGATCCTGACTTTCCTCCCTTCTCCCCAGACTTCTTCTATGAAGAAAAGCTTCTGCTGGCAGACAAGCGTCCTCTTCTCTGTGCTGAGTGATGGTAGCACCTCAGCCCTCTTGCTTTTGTGAAAACAAAATTAGCACATTATTAGAAGTAATTGTCTCCATTCTTAATTGGATCAGCAGACAAGCTAGGAAAACAATTCTTTCTTCCTCAGGCTAGACAGGCAAAAGGAGGTTCTCAGGTCAAGAGGGACTGCTGAAAGAATGCTGAAAGGAAGAGTGCTGAGGATTCCCTCCATCAACATCTGATCTGTCCCAAGAAACACAAAGTTTACTATTTAGTTTTTTTTTCTTCTCGTAGTTTTTATTGCTTTTGTAGGTAATTATGTTGTCACTATTATGTTTTTATTAGCTTATAGTAATAGTGATATTATTATTATTATTATTATTATGATAATCGAAAATAGTAATAACAACTGCAGAATTATATAATTATTCTTTTTTTATTATTTGTTATTAGTGTTTTATCATTATTATTTTTTTTATCAAGATTGCTTACATGTAGTTTTATTGTGGCAGTAGTAGAGATAATATTGTCATATAAGTGATCTTAATCTGTTTTAACCCATTTCAAATACAGGAAATTTGAAAATTACTGGGGCTGTGCCTGCACTGCATGGGTTAAATGCTAGTTTAGGTCTAGGGGGCATAGAATCACCTGATCCTCCACTCCTCTGCAGTGTTAGACTGATCCCCCACTTCCCCCCCTGCTCCAGCGTTCTAGGGTTCTGATGTCATGAAAACTAATTCAGAGTCCTTAGCCCTGCATTGGTCGTGACAACATCGAGAGATAGTGCAGCCCTGGGGCATAGGGGAGAGCTGCCTGCCGGGAGAGTGCAGAATCAGGTAAGTAAAATACTTTTTCTTTCCCCTAGACAATATTAGCAGTCACCCTTCAGTGCAGGGGCAGACCCACTGTAAGGAGGATTTTTTTCAGATTTCCTAAAGTTAAAGCTGGACTTTAAAGAATATGTAACCCCACTTTTCTTATTGTTGATATCTGCCTGCTGTACCATGTACTTGTATGAAAAAGTATCCTGTTCTCTTTGTAATGCTTCCTTTATGTGAAATCCCTGGTGTTCCTTCCAGTTCCTCTGCTTTCTTATTAAAAACTGACCACACTAGGCAGGAGAGCACAGAGTAGTAAGTTTTTTGGCAATTGATAATCAGGCTTCTGCTCACACACCCTTCTCCTCCCTCCCTTCCCTGCATGACCATTCACTGGGAAGAATATGCTGCTGCTTTCCCTCCCCCAGCTCTCTGAGCTCCTTATGCAGCTGAGAACAGCTTTATCACTTATAAATAAAAGGGGAAGAAGGTATTTTTAATGTTTTTTTTTTAATATCTATACACAAATGTTTTGCCTTTCATCTCTATTTTAAACTGAATGGGGTTTTTTACAAGGCAAGGGTTCTCATATATTTTAAAGTGGAAGCTCTACTTTTCTTCCTCCTCCTCCCCTCCGCTGCTACATTTGGTACCTTTTAGGGGGAGGGGCGAGCAGGTATCTGGTTTTGACAGGTACCCGCTACCACTTCCAGCTCAGTTCACCGTGGCAAACTGAGCCAGAAGTTTGGCACCTCCTGCAACCCTCTGGGATACCTCCAAGGTCCCAGAGGACTGCAGCCCATTCACAAAGTGCAGCGGACTTTGTGCATGCACTGTAGGAAACTGGCAGTGAAGCCGCAAGGCTTCACTGCTGGTTTCCTTTAGTCATGATGTCGTTGCCAGCACCCTACAGCTGATTGAAGAATCGGCTCGGGGTGAGAACACCGCTGGATGCATGGACAGCTAAGTGCCCTACTATTAAAAGTCAGCAGCCACACTTTTTGTAGCTGCTAACCTTTAAAAAGTTTTTATGGGAGGGGGAAGGGGCCGGAACCTCGTTTTCACTGCTTGCTGACAGTCACCTCATAGGTAGAAGTGATTGTGTTAATTTCTAAAACACCCCATATCCCAAATTTGCTGGTTCAGTTCATTGTCTGTTTTCACCTGGCCACCACGGATTGACTAAACATACCAGGGTTTGGTTCATGGCAGGTTCAGAGAACATTCCAGAAGTATGGGTGAAGAAATTAAGGTGTCCGTTTGTGAACCAGAGGTAATAGATCGCTGCTCAGTTCTCCGGCATTCTCGGAGAACAAAGTTCTCCTGTGAAAGCAGTTTATGAAGCAGTTCTCCGAACGAAGGAGAACGGTTTCCAAACGCTGGATAACGGTCTACAAACTTTGGCTCATTTTACTATAATCTCTCCAGATTATAGTAAAAGACCAGTTTACTAAGCAGAGGTAAATTATCTCTGCTTAGTTTTCGGTCCCTCTGATTCTCCAGCTCTGGGCTGGAGAATCTGGACGGAGAACACAGATCTCCAAGGGCTGACAGGATTCCTGAGTGTTATACTAAACTGTGAATGACCAGAGAATAGCTGAGATCCGTTGAATCGCAGCTATTCTCTGGTTCACAAACGGACACCTATATACATTATTTTTTGATTTTTGGTTTTTTACAAAGTTGTCATTTTAACAATTTATGTCTATACACCCCC